TGTGGCGTAATGAACCCTGTTTATTTTTTATATGGATCTAACATAATTACATCATGATTATGGTTTCAGGCGGTATCGGCGATAATTCTGTTTCTAATGTTAAAAGATACAAAAGAAAGAGATTGTTATTGAAGATTGAAACTAAGGAGGTATATGAGAATAGAGATTTAGTTGATCAATGCAATGTACTTTTGAGGCTGTGACTATTTATTGTCTGGGAAATATTATGATCGGAATAAGACCTATATAATGATTTTTTTCTTGATTCTGTGACAAAATACATTATCGCCGAAAAATTAAACTCTTGATTAAACTATTACGACTAGTTATGATAAAGATAGAAGCTAATCTATGACTAATAATAATCTCTTAGTTTTAAAGTAAATATCAAAATACTATACAAGTATAAATGTTATATAGAAATTTAAGTTTCTGTAGTTTTTTTTTAATCATTCAGGAAGGCAAATTCCAAATTACATTTGTGAGTTCTGACTTTTTTATATATCTCAATAAGTATGAGAGAACGTATCCTGCAAAAATATCCCACAGTAATTTCCTGTGTAAAACAAAATATTAATAGCCAGATAAATTCATGGGCAAATAAAATGCCTTTCGGAAGAAACGATTTATGTCTGTTGCATGAGACCTGAAAAGGCTAAAAGCTTATCGAAAAAGTGATGTATAGCGGGTTTCCGTCGTTGTGGGAATCTAGCAGGTTGCATCATGTAGGGATTGGAATCGATTCTGCCAAAATCGAATTAATCGAAAATCCGATCAGGAATCGATTATCGAATAAAAAATCGAAACTCTAGTGCCGGCCCGAATTACGAACTTATAAATCGCGTGACATATGATTGAATTGAAGTTTAATTCTGGCCGGAATTATAAGCTTGGCCAGAGTTACCACCGATCATTGATTATTCGTGCAATAAACGTTTTATTTTAAATGCAAAATCATAAAATTCAATAATTAAATGATTTATATGTTAAATTTGTGATCATTGGAAATTTTCCTGCCACAAATTTAATGATGCGGAAACGATTAATCGAAATCGAAATTTGAGAAACGATCAATCGCGATTAGCTTATTCTAAAATCGATTCAAATTATGGAAATCGATTCCAATCCGTATATGGGTAGACCACTTCGGAAAGTTGCGTTCTTATGATAATACATGAAATATGGATTTCACTGATGCAATCCTCTTATTATTGAAAAACCTAAAATTAATATTGCACCCTTCATCGCAAATATCGCCCTACGCTCAGTGACTTTTATGAAATAGATTCTTTTTGCTTTATATACATATATATATATTATTATTATATATTTACAGTATTACAATTGAAAAGTGAAATAGCAAACAAAGATTTTTGGATGCCTAAATGTTGTAAATTTTAAATATAAAATTCTGAAAATTTATGCGTGCGTAAAATATAAAAATTGATCAGTATTATATTTAACGATGATTTTGATCTTTTTTTTAAATTTTATTTTATACTCGCCTGGTGACAAATCTACATCATAAGAAAATTTTTCAATATTATGGTAATTATTCGGTATAGGATATATATTAGTTATTTGATAGGGGGGTTAGAATATCACCGAACTGCGAAGCAGTTCGGATGATATTTTAACACCCCTATCAAATAACTGTGTTATTCTGCAGCCGCCAATGATCATCTTATAAATACAATAAACTATTGATTAATCAACGTCAAAAATATCAATAATAATTATGCAATGGTAGTTTATTTATAGCTTAATAAAAAAATATCAGCATGATGAAAAAAGCATGATCCTATTTGGCTGTAGAATAAAAATAAGATAATATGATCTCATATTTATTTTACATCAAAAACATTTGTTTTAAAGAATAATAATCTTAATCAAGCTATTAACTATACAAGTTATTGGACTTGCAACGCTCAAATAATTGATAAATAACAATAAATAACTTTATTTATTTAAATATCAACGAAATATCACTTCTAAGATTTTCTTTTAAATTCACGCGCTATCATTTTTTAGTTATAAAAAATAATGAAACGAAATTTGCTATTCTAAAGTTTCTGCAATTAAATATTTTCTTTATGAGGTTGAATTCGTAACCGACCAGGATAAAATAAAGATGCTACTGGATAAAGTTTTGATGGTAAATTATTCCATGCCGATACTTCTGGATACTTTGTACCATTGACTGTAAAAGCGCAAGTTCTTTTATTCATATCTAAGTGAACTGTAACTTTTGTACCATCTCCGAATGGTTGACAATAATTATTTATATAATTTCTAGAGTTACAACAATAACCACTAGAACCCAATACCCATCCATTAGGTTGATCCCCTGCAAAACCTTCATAATTAAAATTTTCTGATGAACATACTCCAACCCAAGATGCAAAACTCACTTTCTCAAAAACAACATCCCATTCAAATGTATCATTATTTTCAAATGTTATTTTAGCTCTAACATTTTGGTGTGAAGTACAATCATTTGGTGCATGTACAATTTTTCCATTATCCTCAATAATAAGTTTTGATCCACATGCTGATTCATCCCAAACATAATCAGATTCATTAATACTATACTTTGGTAAGATGGGTATTCCTCGAATATCATTTAAATTAGAATTATTCGATTTTGTATAATGTCGATAAACATTTAAAATTATTCTAGCTGGAACAATTTCTAGTGGCTCGATGATATTAATTAATACTTGGCCTTTAATTCGTCTAAAATCAATAAATTCAACCAAAGGCTCCAATTCTTTAGCAACTTTTTGATGATCAATAATAAATTTATTTTCTACTTGCGTTGAATTTTCTATTTGTTTTACTTGTTCTAAGGTTGGTAACCGTTCAATAAGAGTTTTATATGCATCATCAGAAACTTGTTTTGCTGCAAGTATAGTACTATATCGAAAAACTTCATATTCTGGGGTTGCAAAAGATCTTTCTTTTTCATATGTACAAACTAGAAGATATTGAAGACCCGCAATAGACAATCGACCAAATTCAATGGTATTTAACGGAATAGTTGCTACTTCTTCAATCAGTAAATTTAAAAGAATATTATTTTCTGTTAATGGCATTTTTTCCGCAAGTTCAGATAGTAACTCTGGTGAGTAATTTTCATTGTAATTTTTTTTTAACGTATTTTTGAAAGTTTTCATAATAAAATCCTGAAGGTCCGTTAATTGAAAATAATCAGCAGCGTAAAAAGTTTCAATTATATTATCCTTCGTTAAATATTCTTCTTTAATTGAACCCGTATAAATATATTCTAATACAATTTCCATTCCGGAAGAATTAATCTTTGGAAAAGAAATTTTATTTTCATAACTTTCTTTCATCCCATTATAAAGTTCTCTTTCAAATACTTCGGATCTTGCTGCTAAAATTGCTTTACAACCATATAATTTCTTTTCATCATCACATAAAATTTCTAAGTCACTATATTTTGGATTATTTATTAATAATCTTAAATCTTGTTCTAATGAATTTCCTCTCGTCATTTTTTTTTTAAAAAAAATATTTTTTTTTCTTTTTTTTGTGGTGGGTACAAATAACTCCTTTTATGTCGATTTTTTACAAATTTAAATGATTGCACGAGTACACAGAATTGGATGATCTCATATGCTTTATTTTTTGATCACGATACAGCGTATCATTTTGCCGTAAAAAAATGAGTTTTACATTATTCTAAAAATACATTTAAAGTGAATAATCAAACAATTTATAAAATAAATTAATCACAACTCACACTGTATTTTTTTTACATTTATTGAATAGCTTTATATATAATAAATGAATACTGTTTTAATCATTACAAATACATTAATAAATTAGATTTTTATACAATAAAACTTTAAATAGACGATAAATTAACTCGTGACTGATTTAATAGTGTGATCGTGAGAGTCTATATAATAAAACACTTATTGCATATGTTTTTATACAATAAGTATTTAGAACTGATACTTATCTTTTAAGTTACTTTTATCTCTTAAGTTTCATAAATTCTCGTAAACATTATTAGGCCACACAAATTCGAATTTTCGGTTCACTTCACCCGGCCGGGTCACTTTTTCAAATTTCAATAAAAAAAAGTTTATATATAAAAAATTTATCACGTGATCAGGACGTTTTTTTATTGGCGGGTAAGTTTATCACGCGGCTGAGAACTTCTAGAGCGAAAATAAATTCCTCATTTTTAAAAGTCAACCAATCAGATGTCACGATTTTATATATAAACTTTTTTTACTAATAAACAATAAACCCCGGGTCCCCGGGTCGATTTTAAATTTCAATGTTACGTGAACCGAAAAATTGAATTTGTGTGGCCTTAAAATTATTGAAAATTTCTAAATAATAGTTATAATAAATTTTTTTGTTTGAAAATAGGATAAATTATAGAATATTTTTTTTATAAGAAAGTTCGTGAGGAAAAGCTTATGATATTGTCGTGCTACCAATATCACTTTAAAATATTTGATCTTTCTGTTTGCAATCTATTTAGGACAACCGCAAATATATTAATGTTATAGATTTTAACATGATTAATTTTTGAATTTTTATTTAGCTTTATAAAAAAAAAAATAAACATAAAAATATTCAAATATATTAAAATTCATAAATATCCGTTTTGTAATTAAATATCTGCAGATGACAGTTTTCGAAAAATATAATGAAGAGATTAAAGAGATTAAATTAAGGACTTTATCCATGCGGAATTTTTGATTCATTCAAAAATATTGGTTCAAAGATCGGATACCATACGAGAGAAGAGGAAATTGATTTTATTTTATTGAGACACGTACAGATCAAAATCGTTACGAATGCATTCAGTTCTTACTAATCGCGTGGTTTTGTATTTAATTAGAGGTTCGGTCTATAAAAAAACATACTTTATACAATTAAATGCCCGATCTGCCATTTAAGAACAAAGAAAAATTTTTGTATATAACTAAATTTTATTTATTACTATTAATACATAACGAGAATATTTATCAATTAACAAATTAGCTGTTCATTACCACATCCAATAACAACTTTGTTGAAATTAGCGCTTGGTTGACCACTGCTATGAGAACTACAATAATAACCAACATTTCTATTGCCATTGCACATCCTAACACAACAATCATCCCAAATAGGACTATCCCATTTGTAAGATTTAATGGTATAGCCAGGTCTAAAAGTTCCTCTATGAGTGTAAGTCTTGGCAGCACCGTGATAGTTTGGTTGTGACCATGCCTCAAAGTAGAATGCTGATGCAAGTTGAGCAATCAACAAGACAAAAATAAACTTGAAAAGCATCATCTACAAGTTGAGAAATTTGTAAAATAAAAAGACATTTATCTTAATTTCGATTATATTAAATTAACATTATTAAAAGACTTACTTATTTTACTTGAAAGTTTAAATTTGATTAGAAAAATCTGTAACTTTTTGTTTGTAAGGCTAAAAAAATGGTTGTTTGCCTTGGAATTTTAAGGAAAAAGTTTTAGGAGAGTATTTATAAAAAATGGTGAAATTTGAAAAAGGTGTGGCATAGCCTAATTGTATTTTCAGAATATTCAACGTGTACGATCACTAAGCCAATTTTAATGCTGCATATCATACGTGGCCTGATAGCTCATAATTAATACGTGATTCAAATTTGTAATTTTTTAGTTTTCTTTTATAAAGGAAGGTATTTCGCGTTCACGCTTGGTTAATTAAGGGCCAATTTCAGTCTCCCTTAATATACTAAAGCCTCAAATCGTGGTAAAAGTTAATTATAATCATGGTTGGTGTGTATCAGCCTTAATGTTCTTAAGCCCCAATCGTAACAAATCAATGGTCTAGGCTTTTTCTAATCGCATCTTTGATTTAATGGTTATATTTATGCACATTAATACGAGCATGTGATGGCTTTACTTGGTGCTAGTGTGGCTCAGTTACATTTTTTTGGCACCAAGCCAACCTGTGCAACTATTTAAGAGAAAAAAAAAATTGTAATTTAGCCATTTGTAATAAATTGATTCAATCGTAACAAATCAATAAATCAATGGTCTAGACTTTTTTTTCTAATCACATCTTTGATTTAATTTTAACAGTTAATGGTTATATTTAGGCACATTAATACGAGAATGTGATGGCTTTACTTGGTGCCAGTGTGGCTAAGTTACTGACATCATATTTTTTGAAAGGTTAGCCACCAAGCCAACCTGTGCAACTATTTAAGAGAAAAAAAAAATTATAATTTTGTCATTTGTAATAAATTGATTTTTCTCACGATCTCACCAACTATTTTTATCCAAGTTGGGCAATGATGGGAACTAATATTATACCAATCAAGATTACTGTGAATAAAAGTATTAATGGAAAATTCAGAAATTTATATCTTACGAATAAATTTTTCGGTTTAGAATGTCTTTTGTATCAATAATTATCCGGGACGTAAGCGTAGGACACTTATGATTAGGTACACTCCATTCCAGATACTTGTCTGTTCGCACGCGCGTTTAAATACCAATCTACGTTATGTGATTTTGTTTACATCATACGTGATAAAAATAATCGATAGTATTAGTTTTTATACTTTTTTTTTATTTTAAATGATGATCATGTGATTTAACGCCTTGGACGCTCCAATAGTTCCTGCTGTTACCTAGTATATATTATTTCATCTGACTGATATTTTAAAATTTTTGAATTTATATCAAAATTATATTTCCTAAACTAAAAAAATACTTTCCACACTGACAGCAAATAATTATATAGCTTTATTATATTTATTATATACCTAATAAAGTATATCTTTTGTTTGATATGTTAGATAGAAAATAAATGGAGAAATATAGAATTATCGAAAAAATATTTAAGGAATTTAAATGTTATAGTCTATGATATAATGGTCAAACTGTTATCTTTAATTATGGACAACCTAAATATAGTCAAAGGCCATATGACCATATCTATTAAATCAATGTCGACCGAGCCAAGTGACTCAAGATTTTATATATAAAGATTTCTTGTGTTTAATTAGATTTCTTAGTTCTTTTGTTTATGACATTTGATTTCTGCAGTTGACTAATTCATTATTGATTGATTTTGTTCAAACAACAATTTTAACATTCCTTAAATTTAAATATCATTTTTACATTATTGAATGATGCAGTCCAGCCTACACTAATCCCTGTACCTTCACACTATTGGTAGTAGTGTCCGCAGTAAAATTCTTTTAATTTCTGTGATCGGTGGAATCGAACCTGCGACCTCACCATGCTCAGGCTTCACGAGGGGACTCACGGACTAACCAATGAGCCAAGGGTGAATTATAAAACAAATCAGTCATTCATCAATTTCATACCCGTACAAAAATCTCATCACAACACTAATTCGTAATTATCAAATCAGGAATATTTCATATTTGTAATAAAATTATTGTATAAAACGAAATAGGATGTATTAAATAAAGATGTTTTATCATTTTCTACAAGCTTAGAAATTAAATTTTCATCGTAAATAATACTATCAAATTTTTCTTTTTTTTTTTGCTTTCTTTATTTTAATTATAAATAATAAATGCTACAGGTTGCGGTAATACAGTAACTTAATATGTATTGCTTCAAATAATTCTCCATTGAAATAATTTTAGTATAGATCTTAAACGCTTTTAAATACCCAAGTTCTCATTTATACTGCGTGGAAATAATTTTTATTCCACAAAATTTCAAGCATTCTTTGAACTGAAAGTGGCCGGGAAAAATTAATGATGCTACTGGGTAAAGCTTTGATGGTAGATTATTCCACGCTGATACTTCTGGATACGTACCATTGACTGTAAAAGCACAAGTTCTTCTATTCATGTCTAAATGAACTGCAACTTTGGCCATTTTCAATAATCTACCCATCCAGTAAGTTGTTTTCCTGCAAAATCCTCGAAATTAAAATTTTCTGGCGCACATAGTACTCACAACCCAAGACTAACAGCAAGCTTTTTCAATAATAGCGTCCCATTCAAAAATGCCTTTATCTAATAACAATTTAGCTCTAACATTTTGCCATGCTTCACTTGATGTTGCGTGTACAACGTTTCAATTATAACACATGTTGGCTCACCCCAAACATAATCAGATTCATTAGTTGTTCCCCGAGTATCATTTAAATTGAAATTATTTGATTTGTATTATGTAAATAAATATTTAAAATTATTTTATCTGGGACAATTTCTAGTGGCTTGATCAGAAATCAATAAATTCAACTAAAGGTTCCCAACTTTTTGATGATCGGTAATAGGTCACATTTAATTCTGGCCAGAATTATCAAATATACGCAAATCAGTTATTCAATTTCAATCGGGTTTTGAACCCATTTTAAATCCGTTTTCGAAAATGGAACCAGTGATTGGAATCGATTCGACTAAAATTGATTTAATCGAAAATTGAATCATATCTAATATAATTGATTAATCGAATCTAAAAATCGCCCTATAAAAAAGGTTTGTGCTAAATTTGTGCCAAACGGGCTAGTCATGCAACATTTATTCAAATTTGTACTAAAAATAATATAAAATTCAAACAAATATCGTATGATTAGCCCGTTTGGCACAAATTTAGCACAAACCTTTTGAGTCCCAATAAATCGAATTTTTTTATATTTTGGCGCAGCAAATATAATCTAGTAATATAATCTTGCTGTTTCTATAACTACGCCACAACGAAAAAAATCTCAGAATTAACAAAAAAAATTGAAAAAATTATTGTAATGGTTTTTTGATCATTAATAATTGGATATTGGACAATTAGACAATTGAGAATTTAATCAAACATTATCTAATCAAGTTTAATTGTGGCTAATGTTTAATTAATTAAAAAAAATTTTTTATTAATTGATAATTTCGAGTTCAGGGGCCTGTATCATCCTTTGGCCATAATTAAATATAATTCTATAATGCGGGCCAAAAATGTCTACTGCATATTTATACATATATTTTTATTGTAATGATAACAAATTTTGACTTTTTATATAATAATTACTTTAGCTAATAAAATTTCAGGGTTTTTATTTAGTGCAAAATAAAAATTTTCGAATTTTACAATAGTATTTTAGTTAAGGGCGTTGCATCACTAAAATGTTAAAAAATATTTTTTTTGTAAAATTACTGAGAAATGATTTCCAAACTCTATACTATACATCAAAAAACATTTGTTTTGAATAATAATCAGTTTATTAACAGTCAAACTCAATAAAGCTATTAAAACATTCTAGGCATTTAATTGACTTGAAAAGACATGGTCATTAGTCACATGTCAATTTGGGTCATAAATGATGACAAAGCAACTAAGCTATGATCTTAATTCTGGCCAAAATTTATTTATACAGTTTTGAAGTTAAAATTTGTCATGTGATAATATAAATCTATACAGCATTATATTTTAAATGACTCAAACGATAAAATAACTAAACGACCTAAGTATATTTTTTTTCTTGTCATGAATTAAATCTTGTTTTACTAAATTTTATAGTTATAAAAATAATGAGCAAAATTTATTTATTTTAAAATCTCCGCAATTAAATATTTTTTTTATGAGGTTGAATTCGATATCGACCAGGGTAGGTTAATGATGCTACTGGATAAAGTCTTGATGGTAAATTATTCCATGTTGGTACCTCTTGATACTTTGTTCCATTAACTGTAAAAGCGCAAGTTTTTCTGTTCATATCTAAGTGAATAGTTATCATTACACCATCTCCGAATGATGGACAGTGATTGTTTATACGATTTCCAGAATTGTAACAATAACCATTGAAACCTAATACCCATCTAGTCCTGCAAAATCTTCATAATTTAAATTTTCTGATGCTACTCCAACCCAAGACCATGAACAAACTTTCTCAATAATAACATCCCATTCATAAATACCATTATTTTCTAATATCATTTTAGCTCTAACACTTTAGTGTGAACTAAGACCATTTGTGCATGTACAGTTTTTCCATTATCCTCAATTATAAGTTTTGATCCACATGCTGACTCATCCCAAACATAATTGGTACAATTTGTTATGGGTATTCCTCGAAAATAAGTTCTATTGGAATTATTGGATATTGTATTATGTCGATAAACATTTACAATTATTTTAGCTGGGACAATTTCTAATGGTTCGATGATATCAACTAATGCTTGACCATGAATTCGTTTGAAATCAATAAATTCAACTAAAGGTTCCAATTCTTTAGCAACTTTTTGTTGACCGGTAATAAATTTATTTTTATTTTCTAATTGTACAGAGTTTTCTATTTGTTCTATTTTTTCTAAGATTGACCGTTCAATAAGAGTTTTATATGCATCATTAGAAACTTGCTTTGCAGCAAGAATAGCACTATATCGGAAAACTTCGTATTCTGGGGTCGCAAAAGGTCTTTCTTTTTCATATGTACAAACTAAAAGATATTGAAGTCCTGCAATAGATAATCGACCAAATTCAACGGTATTTAATGGAATAGTAGCTACCGCTTCAACCGACAAATTTAAAAGTATATTATTCTCTGTTAATGGCATTTTACTTGCAAATTTAGATAATAATTCTGGTGAATAATTTTCTGTTTGATTTTTTTCTAATATATTTTTGAAAACTTTCATAATAAAATCCTGAAGGCCTAGTAATTGAAGATATTCCGCAGCATAAAATGCCTCAATTATATTATCTTTTGATAAAGATTCTTCTTTAATTGATCCCGTATAAGTATATTCTAATACAATTTCCATTCCAACGGAATTAATCTTTGGAAAAGAAATTTTATTTTCATAACTTTCTTTCATCCCATTATAAAGTAATCTATCAAATACTTCTGATCTTGCTGCTAAAATTACTCTACAACCATAAAATTTCTTTTCATCTTTACATAAAATTTCTGTCACTGTACTTTGGATTATTTATTAATAATCTTAAATCTTTTTCTAACGAATATCCTCTCGTCATTTTAACATTTTTTTTTTTTTTTTTTTTTTTTTTTTTTTTTTTTTTTTTTTTTTTGTAGTTCAATGAGTATATAAATAATAAATATGATGCCGGTTTTTTACAAATTTAGGATAGTATTTGGTAAAAAAGTATTAGCAAAAAATTCGGTAAGACGAAAAGGTGTAGAGTAGGGCCCCCGTGGTGAGTAGAGTATGGTGACATTTGGCAGAGTGTAACATAAAGGTGCGAAACATACGAAAGTGATGAATAGTCACCCGGCCAAACCGCTGGGCCGAGCTTTGGCCGAGATGTTTATTTATCACTTGAGTATAATGTCACATCCTCGTTATACTCTACTCACCACGGGGGCACTACTCTACACCTTTTCGTACTGTTCGTAGCACTCCAAAAAATTTCATGCATTTCAATGGAATCATAGTAGTAGTAATGGGGTCGTTAAGATGTTTGAAATTTTAGGGTTTCAGTAAAGCAATTGTGTAACTTATCAATCAAAATGTCAAAATCAATCTGTGCGACGATCGATTTCTCACATCCATTGATCCCCAAAAAAAAAATTTTTTCTCGGATTAAGCAATTAGTAATACTAAAATGGATGAGGCACTGCATACTCTTACAACAGAAATTAATCGTCTTGGTTTCACTCCAAAAGAACAAATCAGTTTAGTCCAATACTTCACTCATAACGTACAAAAAATCGTATCTTTTCTTCCTAACTTTACAACGGATGGTGATAGGCGGGTTTACTTGAAGTCTTTATCATTATTATCCACGCCTAGTATGTTTCATCATTGTGTTGTGTGCGCTGTCGTATTCACCAAAATTCCGAATACTTACTTATTCTTGTGCTTTTTTCCTGCTTCTTATCGTCAAACCCGCCCAAAAACACATTCACATTACAGCAGAAGGGGTAGAGGGAATAATTGAGGAGCTGGAAGATCTTCAGCTACTGATAGATGAAAGTAGAAAATTAAAGCGAAAAAAAGGTTCTCCTTTCATCCTTTTCAAGGTATATAAGTTGAAATCTGTGACTAATTTCTTTTTTCTTTATCACAGAATATATGGATACTGTTAAAAATAGCCTTGAGGCAGAACCACCCTCTACTAGTGCCAAGCCAAATCGTTTCTCCGTAGATCAAAAGAAAAATCCAATCCTTAATGGTCGACCGCTTGATCTCATTGGTCCTCCTATCACCCTTTACCATAGGGCTTTTAGTGAATTTCTCGAAAATTTTGAGGATGTGAATTTGGAAATATCTCCTGACATTTTTAACTGGATCACAGATTTCATATTTGCAGCAGCAGAATTTTATGATACCGAAGATGAACGTTTGGAAAAAATAAGAGATATCCTTTCGAAAAAATGGACCATAGACTTGATAGAATACCAGGATAAGTCAGGGATAGGCCACAGCTGTGATGGAGTATTTATGTGTAAAATAAAAAACAAACTCACCGCTTACATCGCGTTCATCGAAGGAAAGAACGAGGTTGGATCAGGTGGATGTGATCCCAGCATTCAAGGGGCAATTTATTATAGAGACCACTGGTCTCAGCATCGTGTATGTTTTAATTTTAATTCCTCAATTGGTACAAAACTTATTATTATTATGTTCATATGGCAATTGATATCTTCTATTCAGGCTCAAGAAATTCGAAATAGCTGTTGCGTTCCATCCTTAATTATCACCGTAGCTGGCCCATGGTTTTGTGTTCTTGGAGCTGTCTTTCTTAATAGGGTAGTAGTCCAGCCACTAACAGATACCATTCCATTTACAGTCAATCTACGAAATGATGTACAAGTGATGCGAATTGCTCGCCTTTTTCAGGCACTAGATATTGCTTTTGACCACCTTACCTCTTTTTACCAGAAGGTGGAATTATCATCATTACCATCAGACCGGCGGGTTTTCCCTTATATTCAACAGGCTGGATTCGGGAAGAATGCTTTTTCTTTTACCTACATATGCGAAATATTGGATGACCATTCAAGACCTATCTGGAAGGCTATGAGAGACGATAATAACAAAATGATTGTTGTGAAATTTGCGCTTAAATACAATGCTAAAGCACACATTATTTGTGCGAAAAAAAATTATGCTCCGGAACTGTTGTATTACAGTGATGAAGAAGAAGCCAAGAGATTGGGGGGATATAAAATGATTATCATGGAATATATTGATGGTATTTCACTTGCACGGAAATTCAATAGAGGCGAGATCAAAACTAAAAATAATATTTATGCTGATGTGAAGGAATCTATTAAACTGCTACATGACAAGAACTTAGTGTTTGCGGATCTTCGAACACCAAACATTCTGGTTGATGAAATAGATGGATGTCAGCGAGCAAAACTTATTGACTTCGATTGGTGCGGAGTTCACAATCAAGATAGGTATCCACTGTCAATGAATCCAACAATATCATGGCCTTATGGAGTGAAACCTTATGCCTTACTCCAAAAAGATCATGATCTTACCTGGCTTAATGAGTTAAAAGAGCTTCTAGATAATTCAGCAAAAAGTTCACCTCAAAGCCCAATAACTTCTGCATCAAAATCATCTCAAAGTATTAATATACCCATACATCAAAAAGCATCAAGTTCTCATACATCTACACTTCAAAGTATGCTTCCAAATATACCTCAAAAAGCATCAAGTTCTTCAATAAGTTCTCATATATCTAAACCTCAAAGTATATTTTCAAATATACCTCAAAAAGCACCAAGTTCTCATACATCTACACTTCAAAGTATGCCTCCAAATATACCTCAAAAAGCATCAAGTTCTTCATTTATACCTCAAGGTTCAGCAACTTCCGCATCACGTTGGAATCCACGTGTTTGTAGCTGTGGTTGTATTACATTTCGACCAGGTATATTTAACAGAAAGGAATGCAACTCTTGTGGTCATACACACTAAATAAATGGATTAATAGTCTCGCTTAAGTTTTTACGCGAAAATTTTGGCAAGTTATTATTTTATATTGTTTTTTAATTAGTGACAGCCATGTAGTATTTAACATTTTCAATAAATAAAATTCTATATAACATGAAGGTCGATAAATTTAACATAATTGAAGACTAATCTTTAGTTAAGTTTTTTAAATCTATTATATTCAATCCCTAAATATGAATTTAGTATTGTTGTAAAGATAAATGCAAACTTTTCTTTTTCCAATCTTTTTTTTAAAAAACTTTTAGCATGATAACAATTTTTATAATAAATGTTTAAGATACAGTACAGTATGAACGGTTCAGTTAAATATTTTATTATTTTTTTGAAATTTCATACTGAAAGAAAAATTTGTTAAATGAAACATATTTTTTTTTATTGTATTTCAATAAATTTGCAAATATTAATTAAAAATTTATGTACTGTTGATTAGGTAAATGGTAATAGTTGCAATAAGTGAAGGTTATAACCGTATGTCGATAAAGTTGTAAGTTATTGCCGTAATTTTACAACTAGTCATAAGTGGTGTAATGTTCGTAATGAGTGTAACGTCCAGAATGGTGTAACATTCAAAATAAGTGGTGCAGATTTGCAAATGTATCCTTCTTACTATACTACTAGAATCATATACGATAGATTTTCGGTTCTTGCGGGAAAAGGTAAGACTATTATTTATTTATTTATTTTATTTATTTATCATTATTTAATATGTTCTTTTCGATTTTTTTTTGTAGAAATAAATTTGAATATTTAAACCTTCCGAAACAGGACGTTAAAAGTAAATTCAATAGAGGAGTGTGTTTTCTTTAGTAATTTGATTTAAGAACGTTGTTAACGTACTTTTTTTATTTCTTTGTGTAGTAAAAATTAACTTTTTGGACTATTGGACCTTTCAGAACAACGTTTGAAGGTATTCCTTAGTAGTTTTGTTTAAGGAGGTTACAACTAAATTTCTTTTGTTTCTTTTTTGTCGGATGATCTGCGACCCTTCTTAATGAGCATCTGAAGGTAAATTTGAGGAGGGCTTTTTTCTTTAATATTTTGTTATTTAATTTTATTAACGTTCTTTTTTGTTTCTTTTTGTAGGAAGAACCTTTTGGGCCCTTTCTTCATGTGCATTTGGAAGGTAAATCTGAGGGGGAGGCTAAAAAAAAAAGAAATAATTTGGTGTAGTTTTTAATTTATTTCTATTTTTAATTCACAAAATGAACCCGGTTACAGTAAAGAATACAAACTCTACATATGTAAAGCCGAAAATAGTCTATGTAAAATTGATAACCAACACCCGATTGCCTTTTCAGAACAAGGGGTGGCCACCTTGATTGAGCTGAACTCCCTAGCCGTTCTTAATTTGGTGCGGTGATTATGATTTATATACACATATCTTTAGTTTTGTACATCACGTGATAATGTAATTAAATTGTCTAATGATCTTTCTGTATTTTAATAACAAATGATCAAATGACAAAGGATGCAAAAATGATATCCAATCATTTAGCATTTGGGTTATTTACGGAATGAAATCATTTAACCCTAATTCGAAAAATGGTCAAATGATCAAGTCATTTCCGATGATCAACTTCTACCGATTTCCAAAATTTTGCTGGATCATACACTACCACACTGTTATAGTAATAATGGACCATTTATTATTGATACGGGAATTTCCTATCATCGGGAAAATGTAACCCGAAAAATTTTAATCTTTATTGGTTAGAATATTCTTTTTTTAAAAAAAGCACTACCTATAATTTTTTATCGTAATTTTTGTATTTTAATCTTACACCTATTATGGGTAATAATGGACCATTTATTTATTGATACGGAATTTCCTATCATTAGAAACTTCACTAATGCATCGGAAAAATGTGACCGAAAATATTTTAGTCTTTATTGGTTAGAATATTCGTTTTAAAGTATACTTAATACATTGACATTTTTTTTTTCATTTATTAATATGGTAATTTATTTATTGATACGAGAATTTCCTATCATTAGTAACTTCACCTAATGCAGTTCAATGCAACGGAAAATGTGACCCGAAAAATATTAACCTTTATTTGGTTAGAATATTCCCTTTTAATGTTACAAAAAAAAAAAATATTACTTATAAAAAGTTCGCCTAAAAAAAAAATTAATAAAAAATTTTTTTTTTCCAATAAAATAAATTTCTAAAATAACCAATGGAAACCGAACTTAGTAAACCAAATATCTCAGATAAAGATATCAATACAAAAGGAACAAAAAATTGTTCATATTGCAATAAACCTTTTACTAAAGAATTATGGTGTGAAGAATGTATTAATTCTTTAGAAAAATTAGCAGAAAATAATGATGAAATAGGAATGTTTAATTTAGCCATATGTTATAAAGATGGAGAAGGAATAGAAAAGAATTTAGAAAAAGCCTTTTATTGGTATCAAAAATATGGTGTGAAGAATGTATTAATTCTTTAGAAAAATTAGCAGAAAATAATGATGAAATAGGAATGTTTAATTTAGCCATATGTTATAAAGATGGAGAAGGAATAGAAAAGAATTTAGAAAAAGCCTTTCATTGGTATCAAAAAGCAGCAGAGAAAGATCATATTAAAGCAATGACTAATTTAGCCAAATGTTATAAAAATGGAGTAGGGACAGAAAAAGATTTAGAAAAAGCCTTTCATTGGTATCAAAAAGCAGCAGAAAATGGTTATGAAGCAGCAATGAATAATTTAGCTATATGTTACGGAAAAGGAGAAGGAATAGAAAAGAATTTAGAAAAAGCCTTTCATTGGTGTCAAAAAGCAGCAGAAAAAGGTGATGAAGGAGCAATGAATAGTTTAGCCTTGCATTATGAAAATGGAGTAGGAACAGAAGAGAATTTAGAAAAAGCCTTCCATTGGTATCAAAAAGCAGCAGAGAAAGATTTTATTGATGCAATGCTTAATTTAGCCATATGTTATCATGATGGAGTAGGAACAGAAAAGGATTTAAAAAAAGCCTTTCATTGGTGTCAAAAAGCAGCAGAAAAAGGTGATGAAGATGCAATGAATATTTTAGCCATGTATTATAAAGATGGAGAAGGAACAAAAAAGGATTTAGAAAAAGCCATTTTTTGGTACCAAAAGGCAGCAGAAAACAATCATACTTGTGCAATGTTTAATTTAGCCAATAAGCATTATTTTGGAGAAGGAACAGAAAAGGATTTAGTAAAAGCCTTTCATTGGTATCAAAAAGCAGCAGAAAATGATTATGAAGATGCAATGAATAGTTTAGCCGCGCATTACGAAAATGGAGAAGGAATAGAAATGAATTTAGAAAAAGCCTTTTATTGGTATAAAAAAGCAGCAGAGAAAGATTATATAGGTGCAATGTTTAATTTAGCCAATAAGTATTATTCTGGAAAAGGAACAGAAAAGGATTTAGAAAAAGCCTTTTATTGGTATCAAAAAGCAGCAGAAAATGGGCAAATTGATGCAATGCATAATTTAGCTGTGTGTTATAAAAATGGAGAAGGAACAAAAAAGAATTTAAAAAATGCCTTTAATTGGTATAAAAAAGCAGCAGAAAATGATTTTGAAGATGCAATATTTAGTTTAGCCATATGTTATAATGATGGATTAGGAATAAAAAAGAATTTAGAAAAAGCCTTTTATTGGTATCAAAAAGCAGCAGAAAATAACTATACTCTTGCAATGTATAATTTAGCTATGTGTTATAAAAATGGAGAAGGAACAAAAAAGAATTTGAAAAAAACCTTTTATTGGTTTCAAAATGCAGCAGCAAATGGTTGTACTGATGCAATGTATAATTTAGCTATGTGTTATAAAAATGGAGAAGGAACAAAAAAGAATTTTAAAAAAGCCTTTTATTGGTTTCAAAAAGCAGCAGAAAATGGTTGCACTGATGCAATATATATGTTATCCATACATTATGAAATTGGAATAGAAACAGAAAAGGATTTAGAAAAAGCCTTTTATTGGTGTCAAAAAGCAGCAGAAAATGGGAATGAAAAAGCAATGTTTGATTTAGCTGCATATTATAGAAATGGAGAAGAAGCAAAAAGGAATTTTAAAAAAGCCTTTTATTGGTATCAAAAAGCAGCAGAAAATGGGCAAATTGATGCAATGCATAATTTAGCTGTGTGTTATAAAAATGGAGAAGGAACAAAAAAGAATTTAGAAACTGCCTTTTATTGGTATCAAAAAGCAGCAGAAAGTGGTAATAATGATGCAATGTATAATTTAGCCATATGTTATTATAATGGAGAAGGAATTGAAAAGAATTTAGAAAAAGCCTTTCATTGGTATCAAAAAGCAGCAGAAATTGATCATATTAAAGCAATGATTGTTTTAGCATTTTGCTATCGTAATGGAATGGGAACAGAAAAGGATTTAGAAAAAGCCTTTTATTGGATTCAAAAAGCAGCAGAAAATGATAATGAAGAAGCAATGTTTTGTTTAGCTACACATTATGAAAATGGAGAAGGAATAGAAAAGAATTTAGAAAAAGCCTTTCATTGGTATCAAAAGGCATCAGAAAATAATTATATTCATGCAATGTGGAATTTAGCTATTTATTATAAAAATGGAGAAGGAACAGAAAAGGATTTAGAAAAAGCCTTTTATTGGTATCAAAAAGCAATGGAAAAAGGTGATAATGAAGCAATGTTTAATTTAGCATATAATTATTATTATGGAGAAGGAACAGAAAAGGATTTAAGAAAAGCTTTTATTTGGTATGAAATAGCAGCAGAAATGAATGATAAAAACGCAATGTATAATTTATCTCTATATTATTATAATGGAGAAGGAACAAATAAGGATTTTAAAAAAGCTTTTTATTGGTGTCAAAAAGGAGCAGAAAATGGTGATGAAGAAGCAATGTTTAATTTAGCCAATAAATATAAAAATGGAGAAGGAATAGAAAAGAATTTAGAAAAAGCCTTTTATTGGTATCATAAAGCAGCAGAAAATGGTCGTAAAGAAGCTATAAATCAAATAGCCATATGTTTTGAAAGTGGAGAAGGAATAGAAAAGAATTTAGAGAATGCCGTTTATTGGTATCAAAAAGGAGCAGAAAATGGTGATAAGGTAGCAATGGTTAATTTAGCCAATAAATATAAAGATGGAGAAGGGACAGAAAAGAATTTAGAAAAAGCTTTTCATTGGTATCAAAAAGCAGCAGAAAATGATCAGACTAGTGCAATGTTTGACTTAGCCATATGTTATGAATTTGGCAAAGGAACAGAAGAGAATTTAAAAAAAGCCTTTTGTTGGTATCATAAAGCAGCCGAAAATGGTCAAGAAGAAGCAATTTTTAGTTTAGCCTTATGTTATGAACTTGGAGTAGGAACAAAAAAGAATTTAGAAAAAGCCTTTCATTGGTATCAAAAAGCAACAGAAAATGGTCACATTGGTGCAATGTGGTTATTAGGCAGATGTTACGAAAATGGAAAAGGAATAAAAAAAAATTTTAAACAAGCCTTATATTGGTATCAAAAAGCAGCAGAGAATGGTGTCAAAGAAGCAATGAATAGTTTATCTATATATTACAAAGATGGGAAAGGAACAGAAAGGAATTTAGAAAAAGCCCTTTATTGGCATCAAAAAGCAGCAGAAAGTGATGGTGTAAGTTTTAAAAATAAGAATGAATTATGTAATGAATGCAGACGACCATATAGTAATTACCAATGGTGTCAAAAATGTAATACTAAACGATTAAAAAGGAATTTTTCAAAGTGGACTAGTAAAAATGAATTTATTGATAAATTTATTCAAGAAGCACAGCTAAATGCTAAAAATAGTTATGAAATTTTAGAGTGGATACCTTATAATAAACTTTCAAGTATTAATTATCATGATAAAGGTGGATTTAGTGAAATTCATAAAGCTATTTGGTCAGATGGACCTATTTATAGTTGGAATTTTAAAAAACAACAATGGAATAGACAAATGGAATATGAGGTCGTTCTTAAAGTGCTTGATAATTCATCAAATTTAAATGATAAATTTCTGGATGAGGTATAGTATTTACATATAATTCAATAAGCAAATTTTATTTACTTTTAAAAAAATTTAATAATTTTTTTTTATTATTTGTATAGTGGAAATATCATTATAATTGTCAGAAAAAATCATTTTCGAAATTTATTCAATTCTTTGGATTTACTCAAGATCCAAATAATTTAAATTATCTAGTAATAATGAGTTATGCAAAGAAGGGAAATTTGAAAAAATGCTTATCTGAGATAGTTAAATTTAAGTGGCAAGAAAAGTTGCAATTATTGATAAAAATTATATTAGGACTTAAAGTAATTCATGAATCAAATTTAGCTCATGGTGATTTTCATGATGGTAATATATTAATTTCAGATAATTATAATGAGTTATTTATTATTGATTTAGGATTATGTAGACCTATAAGTGATTTACAAGATCCTGATAATGATAATGAAATTTATGGAGTTTTGCCTTATATGGCGCCTGAAATATTAGGGAAAAATCCATCATATACACTAGCGAGTGATATTTATAGTTTTTCAATGATTATGTGGGGATTTACATCAGGTAATCCTCCATTTATGTATGAAGAGTGTGATGCCATAAGTATTTGTGAAGGGAAACGTCCTAAAATTATGGAAAATACTCCAAAATGCTATATAGATTTAATGAAAAAATGTTGGGATGAAGATCCTTCTAATAGACCAACTGTAATAATGCTTGAAAATATTATATCTCAATGGATTTATTGTATTGATGAATATTATAGAGTAAACAAGGATGAAAATTATAATGTTATGCCCAAATTTGATGATCAACAATTGGAAAATGATATGATGGAATTTGTAAAAGCAAACAAAGCTAATTTAGAACAAGAGCCAGTAAATACTACTCCTATTACACAATCTCATTCACAAGAATATTCTATAAGTCGCGAACTTACTACTGAATATTTTGTTCAAGAGTCTGATGATGAATATTCTCATATATAAATATATTAGAAAATGCGTTATTTTGATTTTTTTCCTTTTTGGATTAATTACCAATAGAATTACAATAAAAAGTAAGATAAATTTATGTATAAAGTTGAAATTTTATGGTAACCTTTATTAGAAATAGGTGGGGTCTTCTTTATAAATTTTAAAATAAAAGTTTCAAATGAGTATTTGGAATTTGCAATTAAAAATTAATAATCTTTATTAATTACTGAGAGGTCAAGGGATGAAATATATTATATATATCTTGGATATTTATATAATTACTGCTCACTGGTTAATGAGTTTTGAAGCTGTTTAAAGTAGGACCAAGGTGTAGATTGTAGCAACAGTAATAATTGTACTGATTAAGTAGTGAAAAATAAAATAAATATCATAATTAGCCTTATGAACAATAAACTTTTATCTTTTTATTAACATAGATATTTAAATACATTTAAAATTCTGTAACTTCTTTTATATATATTAAAAATAAAAAAGATTTCCTTTATTATTATGTAATATTTATTTCATATCTCCTAATTTGAACGAATATGATAATGGTGTAATAAATAAGGCATGATAAATTAAATATATAAAGTAATATATCGTTATAACAATGTGACCACATTTGACCAGTATTGTGAAATTGACCATGTGACAAATTAGTGCATAAATACAGAATACCTGATTTGAACTAACAAATTTATTAATTCTCCAATATTTCATACTTTTACGTATCATAAATTCATCTTGTGCATACATAATTATAATTAATCAGTCGATAATTTACTTATACCTTCATATGTATTGGATACTCTTAAAGTAAATTGTATAAAGAAAACAAAATTATTATAGATTTGACGAAATTCCTTATGAATCTCGATTATTATTACGTGGAAGTCAAGATGGATTTGATCCAGTAATTTTTCACTCAAAATGTGTTGATAAAGGTCCAACTATTGAAGTAATGAGAATATCTGGTTCAAGACAAATTATTGGTGGTTATAATCCTGCAACGTGGAAAAGTAATAAAGGACAAAGATTCATCAATTGTACGGATTGTACGGATAGTTTTATATTTTCTTTTAATAATGCAGCAGAAAAGAGTAATACTATTTCTCCTATAAGAGATCGTAATTACTGAACGGTGATGGGGTTAAATTGATCAATAATTCTAAGAATTAAAAATTAAAGCTTTTCTTATGGAACAATCAAACACAAATCGATTTTATACGAATAGACACAAAATAAATTGCAAAATAAAAATGTATTTTAGGAATCATTTTTAAATAAGCTGATGCCGGTCTTCTTTTTAGTGATTATATGACATTTAAACTAGCAAGTTTTATTTTAAGCGTACTTTCCTCTATAAAAACAAATTAAATTAAATTAGTCACTTTAAATAATGATAAAATAAACGTATTTCTGTGTGTCTTTGTATGCCATAGATTTTTCAAATACGACCATTTTTTTCGGTTCAAGGATCAAGAATTCATGATCGTTTAACATTTATCGTTAAGATCATTTACGAAATGAATGATTATTGATGTTACTTTCGTTCTTATTACGTGGTGAGAATAGAATAATTTATATGATAATTTTAAGAACGAATAATGTATATGTGATTAACAAACGTACTATGTTTTATTGAATGAAAAGAGATTTATAAGTAAATATATAAATTATATATGGAGAAATAAATAAAAGAAATTCAGAAAAGAAAAAATATAAATGACATTGTTGTTATATATTCGAAGGAGTTAATAAAAAACAAAAATTTTCTTCAGATTTTGGATTGTAAAATGATTCTAAGGATGAAGTGGTAGCAATTCTAATTTAAATTTTTACAACTGTGAACAATTCTAATTTGTATTAAATACGCTATTTACCTTCAGTTTATCGTTACGATCCATGATTATTCTAAAAAGGTAATGTACCGGTAAATATAATTGCAAAATGCATGTGTGACCCTCTGAATGCTTTGTTCAACTAATATAATAATTATTGATAAGATCGTGAGACTTGTGAGAAAAAAAAATCTGTAAAATCGATTTCTCAATATTCTTTTTATTCTGGCGTCATATTATATGATTTTTAGTTAATCGAAACACTTTTATTTTGAAATTTTAATGGATTAACAAAAATAGTTAGGTAATAATGTTATAGCTACTAACCTTGTATAATATTTTTGATAATTTCTTAGTTTTAAAGTAAGTAATTTGATGTTACTTTTACGAATTTATAACAATTTTACGTTTGAGAAGAAGATAAATAGAAAATTAATAAATATTTACAACATTTTAATAATTTAATAATAAACTACTATATTTTTTATTTGAATGAATACTGCCTCTGTGCTTTATCAAGTAAATATTCGAGGCTCAATATTTGTTCAAAATTTTTTTTCGATCTTCTGATATCACGATATACTGTAGTTACTTTTGCGAAAAATAGACTTTCTTTACTCATATTAGTCATAAAGATCACGTAAATACGATTGTTACGATTATTATGAGGTACAGAGAAAATTCAATATTCTTAGCGCTGTCTAACGATTCTTATTCGTCTTAGAGATATAATTAAAATCTTTCAGATTAATACTGCAATTTTAGCAAGGTTAACCTTCCTCTATTTCTTAAGAAAAATGTTAAGCTAACCTCTTTCACTTAAAAGCAAACTATTTGAACGGAAACGTTGTTATAGATTACAGCAGTTAGTTTAGTCAATTAATTGTGTCAATTCAACGATTGGAATTGTAATGGGTAAGAAGTAATTACAGGTTTTAATAATGAAGTAATTGTAAAAAAAGTTTTTGTCCATTTATAACTGATATAAAAGATGTTTCACTTCATTTTGGAAGTGATAGTTGAATATAGAATTTATTTACTTAATGAGTGGTGCACCTTTTTAAAACTGAATATTTCTAAGTAATATTAACATAAGTAATGATAGCGATAGAGTATAGACTTACAATAAGCTTAAATACTGGTACTAGTTATTTTTTTATAAATTATTTAGTTTCCTTGTTTAACTAATAATTTTTAATAACAGATAATAAAATTAGTAAATTATAGTAAATTGCTCAAACTTCAAAGTATAAATAACGATAAATATACAATATTAAAAAATCTATTTAAAGTCTTAGTTTAAGATTGCCATTATCTATAAAATTCTGAACATTAGTACATTTGAAAAGTTGTTCATTAGAATAATGACTACATACTGTAAATTTAAAATAAAGCGAACAATTTCTTTCACTTAATTCTTCTCATTCTATTATGTTTAGTAAGATTATCAATAATGCATCAGCCATTTAATGATGCATTGAAAATTTATCATATGAATCATATATTTCAAATTTTATTAATGTAAAAATGTGTCTTTTTGTCTTACTACTACTCTTGAAAATCAATGCAAACTAAATAATAATTCTTTAAACTAAATTATTACGATATTTATCTAAAGAAAAATTGGTATTCTAATAGTACAAAAAATGGGTTAAAACTTAAAAATACTTTAATAATACAAACAGTACAAAAATTATTTTATAAATAATTCAAATAGTATAGTTGGTTATTATGAAAATATGGGTAATTTACAAATTATTTTTAATTATTTATCATTGTTTGTTTCTATCTCTATAAAATCTAATAATTTTCGATAATTATTTTGTTGTTACACATACTTTAACAAATTAAGTATTCAGAGCGTCTTAGAATATTTAGAATATTGTCTTTTTTTATGCCATTGCTTCCGATTATAGGATATCATTAAAATGATATAAACTGAAATTTTGCTTGATATAAAGCTCCAAATAATTTTAGTATAAAAAAAATGTTCCAATATTCATACGAAATTTTAACCTTATTTCCGTTAATTAAACTATTTTTACTTTAGATAAATTAAGATATGATAAAATTAAGACTATTATAAAAATAGATTAAGCAAAACGCGAACAACCACATAAATAATGCCTACCGATTAAAACGTTTAATATAATTTTACATAGTATCTATTAAGATTTATTTTTTTAATTTCAAATATTAAAATTATTTAGTGAATCATATGTATTTATAATTTGATATAAGAAAAAAAAGATTTTTTAAAACAGGAAAACAGGTATAATTATCAACAATGATTCGTTAGATTGTATTTAGACATTAAATTAAATAAAGTTACAATTTACTGAATTTTTAGGTTATTTTTTATATTCAAAGATAAACTTAGAGTATTATTATTATTGGTTTAGTCCCATATGTAAAAAGAAGAAATCATACTATTATATGCATTAAGTATAATTTTTGTAAAATAAACGAACCATCAGGAATTTCAAATTCTTCTTGTTCTTCTGAATGAAGATTTGGATTATTATATTCATCATCATCTACGAAACAAAAATAATATACAATTATTTATTATCTAAAAAATTTTTAATAAATAAATAATAGTTTACTTACCATCAATATCACCAGTTTGTATAATAGTTATTTTGTATAGTATCAACTATTGTTAATTCTTATTATTTTATATTACGTCAATCTTAAACTTATAACAAACTTATTAAAAATATTTGAATAATTAAATGTATTAGAATCTGTTCATTTCACTTATTATTATTCTTTTGATACTCATTTTACTCGATAAGTTATTTATTTAATTAAACCATTTGAATTAAAATTTTTATTCAAAAAATCTGGTGATTATTTAGAGGATTTCAGATATGGATTTGGTTATAATAATCTATTATTAAATTAACAATTTTTTCAATTAATTAATTATAAAAATATTGTAAAAATATCAATTTTTTTTTTGATTTTTATGAATTTGAAAATCAAAATATTTATCCAGCGTTCAATTTAATTGAAAAAATCTTAATTATCTTTCTATCAACGTCAGTCAATTTTCCTACATGTTATATTGATTTTTTTTTAAAAATAATAATTTTGTAAATATATTTAATAAATATTTTATTTCTTTTAAAAAAAAATTAAAAAAAAATTGGGAAAAGAAAAAGGATAAAGAAAGAAATCGGTTTAAAAGGGAAATTGCTGAAAAAAAAGGAATCTGAAAAAAAAATAAGTACCCGAAAATAATTCGGTCCAAAAAGAGTGAAGAAAAAAAAATTTTTTAAAAAAATAACTACGGTCTAAAAAAAAAAGATCGAAAAAAAATAATATAAAAAAAAAATCGGGATTATTAATTTCAGTTTGAGAAAAAAAATTAAACCTAAATGGGAAAAGAATGAGAAAAAACAAATTTTTCGGTTTGAAAAAAAGAAGGAACCTAACTGAAATTGGATTAGTTGAATAGTTTTGACCATAAATAGATCAGAGGAGGCATGACACGGGTTTTAATCATATGGCATGGGATAAATTATTTATCTGTTATGCCCAAACGTCAGACAAATTTTTTTAGTTATATAGATTTATTAAAAAATTTATTATAGATTTAATTACAAAATTATTAATATTGTTATGTATCTATATAATCTCATTGAAAAAATTCGTTAATATCAAAAAAAAATTTCACGCAAATTTATTAGTTGGGAAATAATATTGAAAAAAAACAATCTCAATAACAAAAAAAGTTCTCACTAAATCAAAAAAATTCTCACTAAAAAAATTTTCATGTGAATTTATTAGTCAGAAACAATATCATCGACTAAAAAAAAATCTTATTAAACATCGAAAAAGCCGTAGGACATAGTTCTAATTTGATTATAGTCTTGATCCAAACCAAAAAAGAATAAACAATATTTTTTGGTTAAAAAAAATCCAAAAATTTGATAAATTCTCGAAAGAAAAAATAAATAAAAAAGACTAAAAAGGTAAATAATGTTTCACAAAATCATAAAATAATACACGAAAATATTTACATGAAATATTAAGTTTCAGTCTTTACAGTAAAAACCGAAAAATAAAAAAAAAAATCATTATTATAGAGTCGTGGTAATTAAGAGAGCAGAAATGACTGCAAATAAAATGAAATTAATATGAAAAATTATACTTTTTTTTTAGTATTAATCCATCAGAATAAAAAAAATCCAGTTAAAATTTTAATTAACCGGAAATGTATTAGTTTAAAGATTGGTTATCGTAGTCAGGAAGGTCAATCAAATTTCCTTAATTATGATATGATAAATACGAAATAGATCGGACGCGTCTAATAAAAGAAATGGAAGAAATTTTCTTAAAAGGCGGTTCAAATATAGCAGTATCAAAAAATTAACGAACTTATTTTTTTAGGATGTTTAACGCGAAAATGGAAGTAAAGAAAATTAAAGAAAAATATGCGTGGCAAGCATTTAGAAAATTAGATGAAAAGGAAAATGGAAAGAATGATTTTATACTAGTGAAAGAATACATTAAAAACATGGTAGTTACTTTGCTAAAATTATCAAAATTAACAAGATTAAATATATTTTGATATATTTCAACAACGAAAATGATTTATTACAAGCAATTTATAAATCCACAATGGAAGAAGATCTAGGGATAGGACTTCAAATGAAAGGGCAAGACGAATTAATTGGAAAGGATGGAGTTTTCAAGAAAAACAATAAATTTAGTGTACCTACACATACAATATCTAATGGTGAAAAATTTCTAGATGCACTATCAAGTCCACTTTCCACGATACCCAGAAGTAAAGAAGAACATGAAGAACTTGACGATTTGAACAATAAATTTAGTGAACGTCTGGATAATTTGGAAAAGAAGAAAGAGTTATCAAACAAAGAAGGAACGACGAGTAAAGAGAGAGACAATTTTAATAAAAATAAAAAATGCGCAGTGACAACGCAAGGACGAAAAGAAGATTCCGACAGCGAATGTTAAACAAATTTGTCCTTTTTAATTAAACAAATTTAAGATCAATGTTCTTGGATTTGCGCTTGGATCTGGTTGAAGATTAATGCGAACGATATGGAATTTCGGGATACATTTCCATCAAGAGCGTAGATTTACGGATTTTTTTTCTTAATGTTTTAATTTCTTTATTTTATTTTATTTTATTTTATTTTATTTTTTAGCTTAGATCAATTTTTTTTTAGGAAAGTATAATTGTTTAGGGTCTAATTTTTCTTGAAGTCAATATTTTAACGATTTAGTTCAGAGAAAATTTGAGAAAATAAGAAAACATAGGAAAATTAAAAAAGTCAAAAAAAAAAAAGAGAGAAAACTTTTTAAAAAATATTATTAGATTAGTAGCGCTTCTACACAACAGATAGATTTTAAAATTAACAAATTTTTATTTTTAAATTTATCATATAGTTAATTTTAGATTTGATTAAACTCAGTTATAGAGGGAAGTATGTCTTTTTTAGGTGCTTATGATTTTTACGTAATCATTTTTTATGATAAATAAATAATAAACGCGTTACTGTTTAAAAAAAAAAAAAAAAAGATCGGACGCAAGAATATCACACTTTCGATGTTAAAACAATAAAAAGATATTATT